CCCCAGAGGGGGTTAATTGCCCCCAGAGGGGGTCAGGCAGAGGGAAGGCAGGCGGGATTCTCCCGGGATTCTCCCGCCCACACGGGCAGGGATGGGATGCCAGGCACAGCCCGGCCCAGATTCCCGGGGGAGGGAATTTACTGCCCCCAAAAATGCCACTTTGGCCTTAAAAACCTCGTTGTTTTGGTTTTTTTTTTTTCCCGGGTTTGAATTCCAGGCAGAGCTCAAATTCTCCTCGGTTTTGGGGCCCTTCTGTGCACGGAGACTGAAATCAGGGGGTTCCCCCCCAAAAGGCAACGGCACTCACAGATTTTATTTCTACCCAAAATAACCCCAAACCAACCCAAATCGGTTCCCATGAGCCCCTGGACTTTTTATTTTTCATTTCCTCCTCTGCAGGGGAAGTTTCTTCCTCAGCTGAAGGGATTTTTTTGGGTAAAAATCACCTTTTTTTAGGGAGGGGAAGGGTGTCAATGACCGAGCAGGGAAGGCACAACACAAACAGCTGCCAAACTCCTCAGATTTACAAATAAACACCACGAATTTCAGGCAAAACGGTCAAACAAAAGTTGAAAGTGTCCTTTAAATCCACAAAGAGCTCCCAGGATGAGGATCTGCCTCGGGTTCATCTGGTTGTGCAGGTTCTTGGTTCAAAGAAGGCCCAAACTGTCGATTTTTCGTTCAAACAGACCCCAAATCAGCAACGATTGGGGGGAAGAAAAAATAAAAAGGTTTGAGTTCTTTTAAAAAAATACAAATTTTAGTACCAAAAAAAATGACATTTTTATCTCCAGAGGTGACCCAAGTCCCGAGCTGCCCCATCTGGATTTCCACGTGCAATCAGGCAAGCAGGATATTTGCCTAAATATCCTAAAAATTAAGGAATTTTTTATGATTCTTTCGGATGGTCTGGGGAAAAACTCCCATAAATTGTTCCTGGAACAAACAGGTGAAGGTTGGTATTCCCTGACAAACACCCAACACTGCCTCAACTCGAAAAATTCATAGTTCTGGACGACAAAAAACGTGGATAAAAGGGGAAAAAATCCCTCCCACAGCTCCAAAAATGTTTAAAGTAACACCTCAGGAGGGTGGTTTTTGTCGAGGTCTCTGGGATTTGCAGGTTTTTGGATAAAGTCTGGGCTGGAATTCCCAGGCAGCTCAGCACTAATCCAGCTGCTCTGGCAGGGAGGGATTTCTCCCCCTTCCCAACAATGCAGGTATTGACATCCCAGGATAAGCCCAGGAGGAATTTGGGGGGGAAAAGCTGCTGATCTGTCCAGGAAAAGGTTTAAAAGGTCTTTTTGGGAGGAGAGGGAGGGTGAGGGGGGGGCAGCACCGCCTGGAACAGCCCCAAATTTAACCAAAAAGAGCATCAAGTCAAGGTCCCCAGAAGCCCCATGAACTGTGACAGTCTGAAGGTTCAGGACACCCCTCAAAGAGGATCAAGTCAAGGTTTAAAAGTTCAGGACACCCCAAAAGAGCATCAAGTCACGGTCCCCAGAAACCCCATGAACTGTGACAGTCTGAAGGTTCAGAACAACCCTCAAAGAGGATCAAGTCAAGGTTTGAAGGTTCAGGACACCCCCCAGAGAGCATCAAGTCAAGGTTTGATGGTTCAGAACCCTCAAAGTGGATCAAGTCAAGGTTTGAAATTTCAGAACAACCCTCAAAGAGCATCAAGTCAAGGTCTGAAGGTTCAGGACACCCCAAAAGTGGATCAAGTCAAGGTTTGAAGGTTCAGAACCCTCAAAGAGCATCAAGTCAAGGTTTGAAGGTTCAGAACATCCCTCAAAGAGGATCAAGTCAAGGTCCCCAGAAACCCCATGAACTGTGACAGTCTGAAGGTTCAGAACATCCCCCAAAGAGCATCAAGTCAAGGTTTGAAGGTTCAGAACCCTCAAAGAGCATCAAGTCAAGGTTTGAAGGTTCAGAACCCTCAAAGAGCATCAAGTCAAGGTTTGAAGGTTCAGAACACCCCCAAAGAGGATCAAGTCAAGGTTTGAAGGTTCAGAACA